CTACTTAAACACAGATCAAAGGACATAAAATAGTCCTTGGAGTAGCTCATATCAAGCCATCCATAGACCTTGGGTGATGAACGTCACTTTGGAAAAATACAGATGCTGCCATCTTCCCTTCAAAGTTCAGAATAAAAGGGAGCATTCAAGACAGTAAGCGTTATAATCAGGTAGGGGAGTGGGAAAGGAAAGGAAGAACTAAACAAGGTCAAAAAGTGGTTTGCAATAGTAAAGTGTATCACATAGCAAAAACAGAAAACAGAAGAAACTTAATAAAATGGAGTGCAATAATTAAACCAGTGCATAAAAGAGGTATTTCTAAACTGTATTATAGTTACATCACCATGATCAGGCTAGCAAAACCTTACTGCTTTTATTGAAGAGACAAAGAATAAGAAAAACATTAAGGGGAAAAAAAAACACAGTTGCACTACGAGTCAAAATAAGTATCTCAAAGGATACAAGGATAAGGAAGTCAACTGAAAACTTGATAAAACAAAGGCGATACTCCTAAAAATAGCTTCAGTTATTATTCTTCACATAGAAGAGCAAAGGCAAGATCTGTGTTTAGAGGGTTAAAGGAGAAGGAAAAACTAACTATCAAATTGACACATTTGGTTAAAGGATAACATACAAAAAAGTGACAAAAAAAAAAATTTGCTTTAAAGAAAGGCTCACGACTGATGAAGGCCAGTAAATGGCTTTTGCATTCAATGCCATGTTAATTTATTCCAGATTTCGCTCTTGCTCCAAAACTATCTGCCAAAGCCAGCAAACATTTCATTGCCATACAACTAGGTCACATGTGGGACTGGTTATGGATCAGAGGGCCACATTAGCTGGACAAATCACTTGTGTTTTAAGCAGATTTCCATTGCCACACAGAGTGATGGACAGATAGGGGCAACCACTGCAAGAGAAAGTGAATGCCATAATGGTGCAATCAGAAGGGAGCAATTGAAGAGGACAGGGTAGCACAATCACTCAGCAAGCATCAGAAATTTTACATTACTGAATTGGAGGGGGGGGGGGGGGGGGGGGGGGGAGCAATTAAACTAAAGAGGCCAGAGAAGAGATTTTCAGCAACAGTGCAATACACTACAAAACCGAATTTAGAACAAGTGCCCAGAGATAAGGGCAAATGCTGAAATACACTGTATTTCGAAACAAGGCGAGCATGCTTCAAGAGAATTAGCGGAGATATGCCAAGAACTGAAGGAAAATAAGTCGATACAAAATAGACACTGATTGGAATGAAGTCTTCTGCAGAAGTAGAGAGGACCAACCCAGTAGAGCCTAGCTGTGACACACTTAGAGGAGAAAAAGACGGTGTTGCAGGACTCAAAGGAAGGCAGGGATACCGGATCAGAAGCTTTAGCTGGATACCCTGAAAGTCCCTACACAGAAAATACAAGTTTCACCTCATCAAAATTTAGCTCTGTTGGTTTTGCTTGGTTAAGTAATAAAGCAAATATTATATCTGCTTGTTTTCTAGACCTGAAGATTTCTATAATCCCTGGTATTTTCCTATTTATTCACAGGCAACAATTACAGTACCTTCAAGCAGACAAGGAAAAAAAAAGTTTTAAGAATGTTACTTCATTGTATTTTCATGTTACAACACTTGTAAAAACTTAAAAAAAATAGATAAACACAGTTTTAACAAACACTGGAAGGATAAAGGATGGACCATTTTGTCAAATGCCCCAAAGATACACATACTAGTTTTCTCTAATTCCAGAGCAAACAATACTGCCATTCCATCTTTCAACCATTTAATAAAATGTACATATAAAAAGATTACTTGATTTAAGACACAAATGCATATTTATGAAAGGGTGCTTGTTTTAGAGGATATCTGGGAAGCAAGTTCTCCCACAGACTTTGTTGTTATTTTGGGAGCTTTCTATTCCAGTTCTCAAAAAGTTTATAAATACATTTGTTATTTACATCTAAACCCTGATATTTAAACATCATCATAGATGAAAATAAGGACAAAAAGGACAGAAGAAAAGGCTGTCTTACTTTAGGTAACACGCTTTTAAAAGACAGCAATTCTTAAAATGTTTCCTGATTTACATTAATTCGTGCAATAACTGCCAAGTAAGATCCTGCTGCTTTCACCTCTGCCGCTGCCAACAGAATCAAAGGGACTGGAGGATCAAGCTTTCAATTATACTAACACAGTTTAATTTATATAGTACAATTCTACAATGGAAGGCTATAAAAATATATTAACTCATCCAAGAATCTGTTCAAAAGGGGTAACTACAAATCTAGCAATGTGCTATTTAGACTGCAATCACTCCTTCAGTAAATACCATTTTCCAAGCAGCAAAACAGTCTGTTGTGTGTTTTAATATTCATTCATTTACTGTAATCGTCCTTATTCATAAGGAGTTGGCTGCTTTCAAGCCAGCCTTACAAGGGGTCCTGATATTTTCCCAGTCCAGGCAAGAAATCAACTTTCCCTTTCTGTTAAGGTGTCACTGAGGTAAAGACATCACTATTTTATAGATATGACCCCATAAATAAATGAATAAAATAGCCTGCCCAGGCCACATAGACCACTGAAAGGCTGCCTTTCACAGGAAAATGTATTTGAAAGCTTCTGGATCCGGTCTGTATAGCCAGCAAGGCTAAGCACTACATTCAGAGTGGATTAGATAGTGGGTTTCCTCTCCCAAGTATCTGGAGAGCAGATCTGACCTAAATCCAGCACTGGTGACAGGACACATCCCCTTGTTTTCCTCAGAGCACCTTTGCATGCCTTCAAAAAGAAGAAGCAGCAAAGAGATAAAGGAACTGCTTCACTAACTTCACTTTGAAATACACTGTTGGGCACAGGGAGGAGGGGCAGGGCAGAAGGGAGGACTTCAACTTTTAAAATAAATCAACAAGAAATAATCAAGACTGAACAAGGACAAATTCCCCAATAAATTTTTTGAAAGCTTCCTCTAAGTGATAACATTGCATATAAAACTTTAAAGAGACTTTCTTAATACAATATTGAATTATGTCTTAATAATAGAACTGCAGAATTTTAACTGGTCATAATAAACACATTAGCTTATTTATTCAGCATTAATAATGACAGACACTCAGTGTTAAAGATACTGCAATTGTCCCGTACAATGATGAATTAAGACCATGGCTATTAAAACTTCTGTTGTCAGGAGGAAAAAAAAAAAAAAAAAAAAAGACTTGAGTTGTACAATCACAACAGTGAATGAGATAAAAGTTAATTGGATGGCTGCCTGCATTTCCATTTGCTAGAATCAGTACAGACAACATTAGCAAGTATTTCTTTGCTTTCGTGACAAGAAGTCTATTATTTAGCATACTTATCTGTGATTATGCTAGGACTCCAGTATTACTAGTAGAGAAGCAAGACCAGCTTCTGCTCTGTCCCTAAATACAGGAGTCAAACAAGAAAACAATGCAAGTCAAAATTCCTGAGTGCTTCCCCTCCCCCTTAGACACTCTTAACTTCATTCACAAACACCACTGGCTAGAAGTACAAGCGTTACTGTTAAAAATGAACTGTCTATGCAAAAACGGGTTTTAAGGATCAGTAAAGCATCTCTACTGAAGTCCTTCATAAATATACAGTACTTCAGCCCAGTACAATCATAAACTGGCCACAGGGCTTTCAAGAACAAGCTCACTTCAGCAGAAAAGGCCAGAGTTTCATTCCCAGTGCCACTGGCCATTAACTGCTGGCATCAGTGCAGACAGCAATTCACCCCAGCCACTCTTAACATCAGAAATTCGCATGTCGTTTGGTAAGGAAGCGGGTTAGGCTGTATCAGATAAAAAAAAACACTTAGATGAATGCAACACCCTTCATGGAAATATTAATCCTTATTTTGGATACAAGGTTTTTGAGGTGTATTTTGGTATACAGCTAAGCACAGAAACCTCTTTGCCACACCAACTTCAGCTACAACCTACAACCACCGATGACCCCCTTCCCAACCAGGATACGTTTGTTCTACGAAAACATTACGCAGAGTAGAGGGAATGGCCTAAAGTCGTGTACAGCAAGACTGTGATTTGTCATCAGACCTGTCAGAATTTTTCGTATTTTTCACGCTATCCTCTGCCAGTGGGTACTCAATAGGGATTGCAACATCATTTTTACTTGAACCATTGTCTTTATGCGATGCAGAAAGGCAATTATCGTTTTTCTCAGCATAGCCATTAGTTTCAGGCAGAGGGCGCTTCCGCTGACTGCAACACAGCTGAGAGTCACAAGCTTCTGAGATGCAGGGAGAGTTGCACAGGAGATGGGAGGTCTTGTGGTCAATGTACTCGGGCTGGATGGTCACAGAATGGATCCCTGCTTCGTGGAAAACCTGCCGTATTTTATAAGCAGCATCTTGGTAATCGGTAGGGGTGTGGCACTTGATATGAAGAGTAGCAATATTCTTCCCACCTGCAAGCTCCCAAACATGCACTTCATGAAGGCTATGAACCCCTGGTACACGAGCTAGTCTGTCAGCTGGAAGACACAAGCAAAAGATATTAGATGCTTTGGTGTACTGGCTAATTACTAGCTTTCCCATTAAGAGCCATACCCAAAAGCAGCAGTCTCTGAACTATCTTTTTTAAAAGAGCTGTACTTAGTAAAATATGTCTACTCCCAGCTGCCTTCGGTTCAGCCACCAGATGACCGCACGAGCAGGTCACCTTCCTTTTGGGTGGCACCCCATCCCTCAGGCTCCCTAACGGCAATTTACCAGCCATTCATAGAAGCAATGTTAGAGCACCACTTCCTTGGCCAAGACCCCACATCTTCTGGTTTATTTAAGCCCCGAGCGTGGTGGAATTCCAGAAGTAACCAGTGCTGCCCCACAATTGTTCACATTGGTTAAGTGTGAACAATGCCAGAGCTACAAAATTAACCAACCTTAATGAAAATTTCTAAGCTGTTTTGGAAGCCTTTCAGCAGAAGCTGCTCCAGGGTTGGGAAATAACGTAATTCAATGTTGTTTCTTTCACAAACACCCCACACAAAGCATTAACAGCTCAAGACCTGGTATTTTTGATGTATTGTTGGAGTACCACATTCTCAAAATGCATGCTTTAACTAATCCAGAGAGATTTGAGTCATGTTGCTAGGACACAGGCATGTGACTATTTCTCATGGTTGTTGAGAATTTAGAGCTATTTTGAGTAAATAGTCCAAACATGTCATTCCAGAAATAACATATGCATTCAAATATATCATTAAAATTAATAGCATTTCAACAACAAATTTGACTTACTCAGTAGTTGCATATTAACACCTTTGGGAACCATCTGCAACAAAATAATTGAGGTCTCCTTGATAAGCGGGAATGCAGAAGACAAGATGATGAACACCATAATTATTGTCAGGCTTGGATCGATGTAGCACTGCCAATTACATGGAGCACTCCCCAGAGGAAGTACATGGAAGATTGTAGCAGCAATTACCACGACTACCGATCCAAGTGCATCTCCCATAACATGCAAGAGAACACCTGAAACAAAGGGCACAATTTCCATTAGTGGGTTGTGGGGGGGTGTGTTTTTTTCTTGGGGTCGGGGAGTAATGCTGCATTTTTCAAGTCTGGTCTACTTGACATGAAAAACACAATATTCCAGGGACTAACATCATAACTAAAGTTTTCAATAACACTTCTCAGAACAAAACAGGAAGGGAAATACTGACTATGAACCACAGCTGCTTAAGTGGGATGCATTATTAAAGATGTAGGGTATGCTAGCAACTGTGGTCCAACTGCAATGCCATGGCAACGTAAAATGTGTTTGCTTAAATGCCTGCAGATTATTAAGAGATGCTGGCACGTTAAAACTCAATTCTCAATTAAAAATTGATGACTAAATCTATCCATTCTACCCTGGAAGCTTAGAGCACCACAGACCACCCCCGGTAACAGTTACTCTCCTCCATCGACTTCTATGACATCGTTGAAATCTGAAAAATTACCTAGAGTGAAACCTAAGCCCATTCTTATGGCTCCAAATGCCCCCAAACTCTACTTTTCAGATCGAGCTTGATAACTAGTCACACTAAACCTTGTCCCAGCCAACACTGCTAGCCCTCAGACCCAAGAAAAAATTAAAAAAAAAAAAAAGTTTGAGAGTCAGTCACATGGACACCAGGGTTTAATATGTGCCTAAATTGAGAGGAACGCTGGGTACCACTTTTTAATCTATAGATATGTTTTTGCACAAAAGGTAAAGACACAAAACAGCCTCTTGTAATAACACATTTTTAGTTGCCCTTTCAAATACAATGACCAAGGTAGTCTTCTTGCTATAAAGTTACAAAGACGACCTTTTTTCTTCCTTTTTTTTTTTTATTACTTTACATAGTCTTTCCTCTTCCTATCATTGCTCAAATACACTCCAGTTTTGTCAGTCTTTATTGTTCAGACTCAGATTTCATTCCAACCCATGCCTAATTATAATGTCTCTAAAGTATTTTCTTTGTCAATACTTTTTATTTATAGCCTGTGAGAGAAACTTTCTTTTAACATCCCTATGACAAGAAATTTCAAGAGCTTCACTCCAATTTAATCACTTCCTCTGGGCTGGAGAAGCTGCAAAAGCCTCCCTCCAAAACTCATTAACAACACGGAGAAGTTTTGACCCTTTGGTGATGCTGGACACCGGATTAAACCTGGAGCCGTGCCTGTGCTGCTGTCTCTTGCCAGCTCTGTGCATAAGCATCGATTTTCTGTGTGAGAAATTAAGGCAATAACCACTGGAGTTCCTCTGAATCGCTTGGATCAGATAAGAGAGTACAAACTTCCAGTAAGTCCAGCGCTTTCTGCTGGAGTCAGGCATGTTCTGCCCCATTTGGCAGACTCCCACAGGGTTTTACTCCTCCTAACAGTGTTGCAGTGTTTTCTTTTCATTCACAAATAATCCCAATTCAGCATGGGCTATCAGCTATTGCACGAACAAGAGGGACAGGCAGGATGGAATTGCCAAGGCAACTAACTAGAGAGCACAGTTTAAAAAGAACAGGAAAATGTTTCAGAAAGACTTCTTCTGAATTAAGAAAAAAAAAAAGTAATCATGTCAGAGTTACGATAAATTATGAATTGAGAATATGGAATTTGAAAAATGCTTATTATTCATTATTAAAATCGGTAATATGTACACCTTAATTATGCATCACATACTGATGTCCTAGACAGAAATGAACCCATTTCCCTGTAGTCTCCCAAAAGCTATGGTCATAAAGTAGAACTAAAAATTAATTTTTATTTAATAAAGTCAGTATGATAAGACCACAGGTAATGCACAGTTTCCAACAGCTTATGTTGGAAAGCCTGAACTACTCTGCGCATGCTCACGAAGTAAAAAGAATAATTTTACACTACAGTAATTAATCCAGTCAGGCAGAATGTCTGGATTCCTGTTCCTACCACTTCTAAAATCAAGGAAGCAGTTTCCCTGCCAATCCATTTTGCCCAGCCATGTTTTTCAGTGAGGCTCCGATTCTATATTGTACAGAATTTTTTGCTAAGTGATTATGAAATAAGTATAGCTATGTAACTAACTTCAAAGGAAGACAGATTTGGAATCAGAATTTTAAAGATACATATCTGTAGCATTGGCTACAGAAGCAAGGAATATTTGTAAGGACCATAAAAATAGATTTTGCAAAGATGACATACTGAAGTAGCACTTAAAGAAAAATTCTCTTTTTAAAAATCAAAGAGGACAGATATTTTAAAATAATAACTGACACAAAACTCCTTATCCTTCAGATATTTTTGAGAGTTTCCAGCATCATTATCCCTAAGAACTGCCATTCAGACAAGTAAGACCTTCTCTAAAATATACTCATTTGTTTCTTATTCTTCTCTCCTCCATCTCTGAAAGTGATTTGATT